ATGAGGGCAATGAATGTACAAATGTGCTTTACACAATTGATGTATGTATGGATTGTGATAAGAGTTGTATGAGCCCCTAATAAAAGATTAAAAAACAAACAAACAAACAAACAAACAAAAAACACTGCCTGGCTCTGTCTTCTCTGCATTAGGAGCAGCTCGCCTGCTACTGCCCCTCATCCCCTAAAAATGTACGCCTACACCAAATTCATCTCCACCCCTTCCCTGGTCAGGAGCACCTCCCAGCTGCTGAGCCTGCCACTGTCTGTGTTGGTGGAGAAGCGGCCTGAGATATTGACAGACGAGTGCTTCAGCAGCTTGACAGCCCCACGTTCCCTGACCTCACTTATCCCTAGTCGCAGCTTCCAAACCAGCACCGTCTCAAGGGACATTGACACAGCCACCAAGTTCATTGGGGCCGGAGCTGCCACAGTTGGAGTGGCAGGCTCTGGAGCTGGCATTGGGACTGTGTTTGGGAGCCTCATCATTGATTATGCCAGGAACCCTTCTCTGAAGCAGCAACTCTTCTCCTACGCCATCCTGGGCTTTGGCCTTTTCTGCTTGATGGTGGCCTTCCTCATCCTCTTCGCCACGTGAAGGTGCCTTCTTCACCTCCCATAGTTCTCTGTCCCACGTCTCGTCTGCCCTATATGTTGCTTTCCCTGCACCTCCCCAGGCAGCCCAGGGAAAGAAATTGGCTCAGGGTTTGACAGAGGGAAGACAAATAAATACTGTATTAATAAAGAAAAAAAAACAAACAAAAAACACTGCCTGGTCCTGCACTATCCTCGCAATTGTTCCTATGGTTGAGCCCATTTTGCAGCCAGTGTGTCAATCCATCTCCTTGAGGTCCTTTCTCTTTTTGCTGCCCCTCCACTTTACTAAGCATGATGCCCTTCTTCAGGCACTGGTCTCTCCTGACAACATGTCCAAACATGTAAGAAGAAGTCTCGCTATCTTTGCCTCTAAGGAGCAATCTAGACATATTTCTTCCAAGACAGATCAGTTTGTCCTTTTAGCAGTCCATGGTACATGCAATCAATATTCGTTTCCAGCACCACAATTCAAATGCATCAATTCTTCTTCACTCTTCCTTATTCAGTGTCCAACTTTCACATGCATATGAGGCCATTGAAAATACCACGGCTTGGGTCAGGTGTAACAGACCTCAAAGAAATATCTTTGCTTATTCAATACTCTAAAGAAGTCTTGTGCAGCAAATTTACCTAATGCAATTTGTCTTTTGATCTCTTGACTGCTGCTTCCGTAAGCATTGGTTTTGGATCCATGTAAGACAAAATCCCTGACAACTTCAACCTTTTCTCTATTTATCATGATGTTACATTTTAGTCTAGATATGAGGATTTAAGTCTTCCTTACACTGAGTTGTAATCCATACTGAAGGCTGCAATCCTTGATCGTCATCAGCAAGTGCTGCTTCAAGGCATCTTCTCTTTCAGCAAGAAAGGCTGTGTCATCTGAACATCACAGGTTGTTAATAAATCTTCCACCAATCCTGATTCTTCTTCATATAATTCAGATTCTCTATTTGTTAAGCATATAGATGGAGTAAGTACGGTGGGAAGATAGAGCCCTAATACACACCTTTCCTGATTTAAAACCATGTACTATTCCCTTCTTTTGTTCACACAATTACCTCTTGATGCATGTACAAGTTCTGCATGATAACAATGAAGTGTTCTGGAATTCCCAATCTTTTCAAGTTTGCTTATGATTCCCACCATAAAATGGCTTTTCAGAGTCAATGAAACACAAGTCAACATCTTTCTGGTATTCTCTGATTTCAACCAAGATCTATCTGACACCAGCAAGGATGTCTCTTCTTCCACATCTTCTGAATCCAGCCTGAACCTCTGGCAGCTCCCTGACAATGAACTGCTGCAACTGTTGTTGGATGATCCTGAGCAATATTTTACTTGCATGTGATATTAATAATATTGTACTATAATTTGAGCATTCTGCTGGGTTACCTTCCTTGGAATGGGCACAAATATGGATCTCTTCCAGTTAGTCGGCCAAGTAGCTGTCTTCCAAAATCCTGGCATTCACAAGTAAGTGCTTCCTCGGCTTGTTAAAACATTTCAGTTGGTGTTTCATCAATTACTGGAGTCTTGTTTCCAGCTAATGCTTTCAGTACAGCTTGAATGTCTTCCTTCAGCACCATTGGTTCTTGCTCATATGCTACTCCCTGAAATGGTGAGATGTGAACTAGTCCCTTTTGGTACAGTGACAGTGTATTCTTTCCATCTTATTTTTGACGTTTCCTGCATTATACAATATTTTGCTCATAGAATCTTTCAATACTGCAGCTTGGGGCTTGAATTTTTTTTTTAACATTTTATTAGGGGCTCATACAACTGTTATCCCAATCCATACACACATCAATTGTGTAAAGCGCATTTGTACATTGTTTCTCAAAACATTTTCTCTCCATTTAAACCCCCGACATTAGGTCCTCATTTTTACCCTCCCTCCCCGCTCCCCCCTCTCGCATGAGCCCTTGATAGTTTATAAATGGGTATTTTGTCATATCTTGCCCTGTCCAACGTCTCCCTTCATCCACTTTTCGGTTGTCTGTCCCCCAGGGAGGAGGTCACACACAGTTCCATGTAATCGGTTCCCTCTTTCCTACCCATTCTCCCTTTACCCTCCCTGTTTTGCCACTCACACCACTGGTCCTATAGGGCTCATCCGTCCTGGATTCCCTATATTTTCAGTTCCTATCTGTACCAGTGTACCTCCTCTGGTCTAGCCAGACTTGCAAGATCGAATTCGAGTCATGGTAGTGGGAGCGGGGAGGAAACATTTAGGAACTAGAGGAAAGTTGTATTTCTCATCATTGTTACATCGCACCCTGACTGGCTCATCTCCTCCCCGAAACCCCTCTGCAAGGGGATCTCCAGTGGCCTACTAATGGGCTTTGGATCTCCACTCCGCACTCCCCCAATCATTCACTATGGTAAGATTTTTTGTTCTGATGATGCCTTACACCTGATCCCTTCGACACCTCGTGGTTGCATAGGCTGGTGTGCTTCTTCCATGTGGGCTTTGTTGCTTCTGAGCTTGATGGCCGCTTGATTACCTTCAGGGGCTTGAAATTTTTTTTGAGTTCTTTAAGATATGCTTACAGTGTTCTTTCTTTTTAGTTTTCTAACTCTAGTATTGTGCACATTCATCATAATATTTTACTTTGTCTCCTCAAGCTACTTATTATGTAGTGTCCATTCTTGTCTCCCATTATTTATGTTAGTCACCTGGAAGTCCATTTTATCAGAGATCATTATTGCCTTTTTATGATTACCATTGGCTTGGTAGGTTTTTCAGCATCCCTTGATTATTTTTAGTCTATTTTTGTCTTTCAGTTAAGGTATGTTGCTTATAGGCAGCACATAGATAGGTCTTGTTTTCCAATCCAATCTGCTTCTCCCTGTCTTTTGATTGCTGCATGTAACACATTGCCACCTAGTGTCATATCATTATTGATGTACATAGTGTCATGTCATTACTGATGCACATAGTGTCATGTCATTATTGATGCATAGTGTTATGTCATTATTGATAGATGCAGGCTTGTTGCTGTTGTTTTGCTGTTTGTTTCTTTTCTCTTTTTGGTATAGTTTCACTACTGTCTTTTTGTCCTCCTCTATTTCTGTGTTATTTTGAGTGCTGCTTTCATTGTATTGGTTTCTGGGTGGTGGTGTGCTATGTGATGCTCTCAGGCTTTTCTGTTGTTGTTGATGATTCTCTGTCCATAGTGACCTGGTTAATATAATTTTGTAATGCTGGTCTTGTTTTTACAAATCCCTTTAGCTTTTCCTTATCTGGAAATACCCATATTTCTCCCTCATATTTGATGGGCAATTTTGCTGGATATAAGCTTTTTGGCTGGTGGTTTTTTTTCTTTCAGAATTTTATACGTCATGCCATTGTCCTCTTCCTTGTATAGTTCCTGCTGATATATCTGAGCTTATCTGTTCATCTTCTGAGATTCCTTTTGGTTTATGGCTTCTAATTTTTCAATTTATTCCATTTCCCCCCCATGAATGTACCCTGCATCTTTTGAAAGGACCTAAACATCATTCTTCTGAATTCTGTTTCTGGTAGTTCCAGGGCTTCTTTTCCAGAGCACTCCATTGGGTTTGGGTGAGTTTTGGTTGTTTGTGTTTGGTTTTGCTAATTTTTTTTGTTTGTGATTATTGTGATTGACTGCTGTTTCCTCGGTATTGTGGCACTTTTCAGTTAGCAGTTGTGCGCTTAACAACTGTGCCACCAGTATGCTCATAAACACAGCTAGATTGAGAAAGATAATAATGTAGTAGTCACATCTGGGTAATATATTGCTGTGTGTCATTCGAGTCAATGTCTACTATTAACAACCAGTGTGACAGTATCATGATCCCATAGAGTTTTCTTGGCTATTATCTTCAAAGAAGCAATTATCCAGGTCTTTCTTCCTCAGAGAAGCTGTGTGGGTTTTGGTTAGCAGCTGAGCCCTTACACATTGTGCTACGGGGTTCTTAATGGTATTTTAGATTACTTAAAATTGCTTTAACTTTTTCGTATTTTCTGAAATAGAGAGTTACTATTTTTATTGTCAAAACAGGAATTAAAGCATCTAGATCAGGGTACTGTCTTTCTCCCATTCTCATTTCAAACTAGTGGAGGTTCTACATATTTTTGGAGGAGCTTTGCGTATGTTGTTGGGAGCTGTTGAGTCAGTTCAGGCTCATAGTGACCTTATGTACAACATAAGGGAATATTGCTCAGTCTTGTGCCATCCTCACACATTGTTATGTTTGCCAGTCCATTTCCTTGATGACCTTAATTTTAAAAAAAATCTGACCTTCTACTTTACCATGCATGATGGCCTTTTCCATGGACTGGTCTCTTCTGACAATATGTACAAAGTATGTTGGACAAAATCTCGCCATTCTTGTTCTGAGGAGCATTCTAGCTGTATTTATTTCAAGACAGACTTGTTTGTTCTTCTGGTAGTCCATGACACTCTTGATATTCTTTGCCAGCACCGTAATTCAAATGCATCAATTCTTTGGCAGTCCTCTTTAACTACTGTTCAATTTTCACAAGCATATGAGGACAATGAATAGGCTACATGCTTAATCATGTATCAAACGCATTCAAATATACTTATGGTTTTAAAAAAAATCAAAATAGAATAAACAGAGTAGACGTAAAAAAAATCTTGAATATAATTTTTGTGTCTTTGCATTTCCCAACTAGTATATTTTTGATCATCTGAAAGATCTTTTATTTTTGTACAACATGGAATAGGAATTCCACATGATCCAGTAATACTTTTGCTGGGTATATACCCTAAAGAAGTAAGACATATAACACGACCAGATATATGCAATCCCATGGTTATTGCAGCACTGTTCACCATAGCAAGAAGTTGGAAACAACCCCAGTGCCCACCAGTAAAAGAATGGATAACGAAACTTTGGTATGTACACACAGTGGAATACTATACACTGCTGGGGGAAAAACATGATGAAACCACAAAACACCTCATGACAAGGATGATTCTGGAGAACTTTATGCTGAGTGAAGTTAGTCATTTACAAAAGGGAATATATTATATGAGACCACTTCTCTAAGGATAAAAACCATGACAAAAACTTGCATACATGAGGGAAAAGATTTTGGAGACTCCCAAAGGAGAGCATAAGGGTGGGAAGATGAAGTGACAAACTAGAAGGTATTGACTTGATAGGTATTGACTTGGGTGAAAGGGAGAATGGAGGGTCATAAGAGTCAGAGAGAAATCAGGGGAGTGGGCGTGGGATATAATACAGGGGTGGGGGTTGATGAGTGATTTGAACTGTTGAATGCAGAGTTGATGGTATGAAATGTAACCCCACCACCATCACCTAATTCACACAAAAAAATTCATCAAGCATAAAATTTTTTTAAGCATCAAATTTTATAATCTCTGTATAAAAGGGTTAAAAACAGAAGTGTATGTTTTTCAGGGCAGGATGCTTTAAGTTCAAATTCAGGGTACCAGTTATAGGGGAGATTTTTCATTCTCTGTTGGCTCTGGAGGAAGTTCCTCGTCTTTCTGAGCTTTAACTCATGGTTGATCCACGTGACTTGGCATCTCTCTTACCTCATTTCTACTTCTCTTGCTTGCTTGTTTAACCTCTTTTATATCTCAAAAGAGATCGACTCAAGACACCTTTACTCACTTAATGTTTATTTAGTACCTTCCAATACTCCACCTTCCTCAGAAAGTGACTTCCTGCAAATCACCCCCTGCCATACCACTTCTTTCTTTACATGGCATATCAACTCACTCAGCTCCAAGAACTCTTCTCCAAGCAGTAAGGCAAAGCTCACTTCATTCTCCCTATACTCTAGGGCAGTGCCCAGTCAGAGTGGCTGCTCAAGAATGTTCCCCAGAAGAACTAGTCTCCATGCATGTCTACAGCACTCAGTTAAATAATAAAAATTTTATCATGGTAAAAAAAAAATATATATATATATATGAAAAACTGGCTTAAAAAACTATTTTAGTGTGCAATTCACTGACTTGAATTATTGTCACCATGTTGTGAGACTATTACCATCATTTATTTCCAATAGTTTTTCACCATCCCCCAAAGAAATTCAGTACCCCTTGACCAATACTTACCTATACCCTCTTCTTGCCTGTTCCTGGCAACTACTCGTAACTGGGTTCTACATATTTTCAGATATTTTAAATAATTTACATTTAGATATTTTATATAAGTAGAATCATATAGTATTTGTCTTTTGTGTCAGACATACTTCACTTAGCATAATGCTTTCAAGGTTCGGCCATGTTTTAGCACACGTTGGCTTTTCCTTTTTCTTTACGGGAGAATCTTGCTTGTCATTTTCTGGGCATACTTTCTGCTTCCTTGGATACTAACTATCCTTATATGGATGGAAGCTGGTGATGTTTGTGAAGGAAGCCTCCAGGAGGGGCTGCCAACAGAAGTTTTAAAAGTTTGGTGGCCACTTTCCTATGGCTTCATTCTTGAATCCCAGATACTTGGGTTTTGTGCCCCAAAGACCCTTTGGTTTTGTGCCCCAAAGACCATCAGACACACTGGACTTGAGCATCCTGGCACTAGGCTTATGACCAGGTCTCAATTCTCCTGCCTTGGGTGAGCCCAAATTGCATCTCTGTGCCACGTTTTTCTCACTTCCTGCTTGCCTTTAAGTGGAAGTTGGACATTAGGTAGCTTCATGTTGGTTTCATTCTCCCTATACGAAGATATGTATGCTCACCAGCAAAATGAGGTTGGTGAGGGGTGGTTGGCACCTTTCTTCACTTTCCTCAAAGAAACACTTTACAAACATGGGGAATGAGTCAATGCTTCACTGTTAACTGTGCCCTTGTCACAAGATCAGAGGTTGTCTAAACTCAAGTCACTGTGTATCAGGCAGGAAGACTGTGATTGATCTCATTGTTAAACTCTTTTCCTTGATCATTGGCATGACGACACAGTTACACAGTTAACTAGCATCCTATTTCTGGTTACTCCTGGCTAGGGACAGAACAGAGGATTTGGCCTTGCCTGCTAAGGGAACAAGCAAAGGACCCTGTGAAAACAGGCTTGGTAAACACCATAACCTTGAAGCCAGGCTCCCAGGAACATCAAGACACAGAATTATACCCAGAGATAAATCTGAAACATGCTGACTTGGAGCAGCTGAGATAAAATGGAAAGAAACTATACAAGCGACTCAAGGTTGAACTCAGCAACTAATTAGAAAGTTGCTTGACCATGTGCAGAGCAGCAACCCTCTCCCCTTTGAAAGCGCTGTTTAAGAACTAGAAGGGTCCCCTAGATAACCTCCCTTCACGAAAAAAGGACCCATTTCATTTCTTTTGACGTGATCCTATGCTTTAAAAAATGGCTTAGCTCTTTGCTGCAGCTGCTGTTGCAGTGTGTGTGTGTGTGTGTGTGTGTGTGTGTGTGTGTGTGTATAGCTTGTCTGTACAGGACCCTAACAAACCACATGGGCCTAGAGCTTGCTACTGTCCCCCATGGATGACAACCAAGAGCTGAAATTCACACTCCTTAAAGAACTGGTGCACACTTTGTATTTTGCATAATTTTGATCCTTGATATACTTAGAACTCTGAAGCAAGCACACCTTTGCTAATGTTACAGCTAGTAAGGTGGGCTTGATATTCTGTGAGTGACATTTTAACTCTCACAAGGCTGTTATTGGGATCAAAGGAATGTGTTAGGGTAAATTTTGGTCAGAGGGTGAGGCTGCTTAGGAGTGTTTACCTTTACCCTGTCCATACAGGCTTCCATCTTCAGCTGTTCCACTGCTTTCCTGGCTTGGGAGATGCTAGTGGTGCTGTTATTGGACATGCCTTCTTTCATTCTGCTGCCCCTGAAAGCAACCAGAGTTATGGTGTTAGAGCTGCGTACGACAACAATCTAGGGAGCATTGGGAGCAGAGGCAGCACTTGGCAGCAACTCCTCATGTACTGAGAGAAAGTCCTAACAATGGACTCAAGTATACCAAAGATCATGGAGGTGGAGCAGGACCAGGCAACAGTCATTGGTCACCATGCATTGGAGGTGACTCCATAGCAATTAATACCAACAAAGAGAAAAGAACATTCCACTAGGTTTATGGGAGGAATATATTTATTTTTTGGTACAAAAAGTTTATCAGAGCTGGAACAGTCTGATGTAAGTTGATAAGACACCCAGGAGAATCAGTAGACAATGATTGCACCAGAATTACTTTGATAGCCACGCTTATCCCTGGGCCATAGGTGATACTTTGATATCTGCACAATGATTCATTAGTAATTAATAATTTTAATTTGCTCATTCATGCATTATGAAGCAGGCAGACTAAATATTAATATGTTTTGTAAAAAAAGGAGGACAAAATACAGATTCCTTAAAATAATAGCTAAACATCCCACAGACAAAATTTACGGGTTCAGAACCCAAACTCCGACCTTTAAAGTCTAGCTAAATGTGCTTTCCAATGTTTTACATGGCGTGATAGTTAGAGTTTGTGCCACCCTGGCTGCGCCAACATTCTCATTGTGGCAGCTGAAGCCTTCTGTATAATCTAACACAATGTAATCAACTCTATGAGGGACTTTGTTCTGAGCAGCCATGCAATTGTGTGAAGATTAGGGTGAACTGCAACCCCCTTAATCAGTCTGCCATATTGCCTCCTGACCTTGGATTCATTAGACTTTGCAATCACGAGTCTGATTTGCTATTTGATTCATTTTCCTCTTTCCTGGTTTATTAGCTCTGGCACCTATGTGAGTCAGGAAAAGTCAGGAAGTGATTTTAGATTCATCCTCCTCTGCCTTTATCAGCCTGTGTGGTCTTTCTACTTCCTGGCCCATCGGTGCTGCATGTGAGTCAGGGAAAACATTCAGCTTAACATCTGATCCATGGACTTGAATCAAACTGGACTTACCCATGTCTACAACTGTGACAACCACCTTCTTTTATTTTGACCCTCTATAATTTATTTTATTTTTATAATTTATTATTAATTGGGAGTTAATACATGTATCATATCATTTCATAGTTCAATCACATCAAGCAGAATTGTACAATTGCTACCACAGTTTCTAAACATTTTTTTTCTTCCTGCACTCCTTGACATTGTCTCCCTTTTACCCACCCCACCACCACTGTATCCCCACCTCCCAAACCCCTTATTCTAGTTGCTGTCCCTATAGGCTCATCAATCCTGGATGTTCATATACCGAAAAAAACAAAAGACAAACCACATAACACAACTTCAAAAGGGTGACACCCAATGACATAACACCTCTGAGATACACTCAATATGAGCAAACAAAAACAAAACAAAAATACAGAATACGTTGAAAACCAGATCAGGTCCAGTGTGCATCAGAGGGGGGATCAAGTGACAAAGTTTTAACTGATCAAGTCAGCTTTATGCTTTTGATCTTTTATACTCATCTCTCCAATGCACTCTGTTTAGTAACCACTTTCCTCCCATCCCTCATTTGTGGATAGAAGGAGTTCACTGGAGGCTTATTTCCTAAATAGTTCCCCCAAATGAATCTTGGGCGCCCACTGTCATCCATGGCCTTCTGCAAACCAGATTCTCACAATTGAGGCTCTCATGCTAATCTTCCTTCGACTTCGGATTACATGTTTTACAATCCTTTGGTGACTGATGATGGTGTGCTTCTTCCATGTAGACTTAGTTGACATCTCACTTACATGACTGCTTGTTTGGAGACACGCCTTTAAGACCCCAGACCCTATTTTATCTGATAGCCAGGCACCATCTAATTTCTTCGCCACATTTTGCTATGGCACCCCTATCTTCTGTGTTCCCTTTCTGAGTATCATGATGTAAGAGCTAATTGTTCTTAATTTCGAGCTAGGATTTAGTGTGAGCCTAAAACCCATTCCTGGAATCTATGTTTTTGTTATTGTTTGCTTGTTGTTGTTTTTATCTGCCTTTGGCTCCCTTTCAAAACCTCCTTGTTAATTTATGGGAGAGAGTCTTATTGATCATCCTCCTAGGGCATCACAATCTTACTTTAATATAGCCTTTGATTAATCCCTAGTACCAATTTTTTAAAGCCCCGTTGAGCGAGGGATTGGGCCCATGTAGGCTAACTCTGTATCACAGTACCTGAATTATTCACTTGTACAGAATCAACCCTTTCGTGCCTGAATGTTATTTACACACACACAAAATGGGAGGGGGGGAATTGTCAGGAAAATTTACAATAATAATTACTGAGAATTTCAGTTAAGGTGCTGGAATAATACATATCTTAATACAGCATGTAGGGCATTGATGTAGCAAGACCAACTGTTCACCATTCTTGGTTCAGCTTTCTTCTGCTTCCTCAAACACCATATATTTTCCAACTTAAGTTCTCAGGTTACAAGTGTGTCTGGGGTGCAATCCAGTTCACCCAGTGAAGTTTCTGCATCGGATCTCACTGATGCAGACTCTGCAGCAGGCTGTGCATCTTGAAGAACCAGGACTCTGTCCCGGTGCTCCACAGCACCAGGCTGGGTCCTCAGGATGCACCCAGAAGCCTGGTTCAATGTGGCCCATTTGGTGCATACCATTAAAGTGTCCCCCAAAGCATTTTCAGCCTTTATTCCCCTCAACAGAGGTTAGTCCTCCTCTTTTCCTACCAACAGTCATGCATTTGTGTTCCCCCAGACGTTGTTTTTCCATCAGTATCCCTTGTCCCTCTTTCTACCTGTCTGGGCAGACCCCATCATAGATTTACATGGCAGCCACTCAGCAGACAACATCCCCTTCCCCTGCCTTGACTATTTTGATCCCAGCTGACCTAAGGTACCCTCCAACCAAATGACTTTCAAAATATTTATCTAGAGTGGGTGGTGTATGGTTCATTGGTCAGGGAGGACCACTTTCTTGATATAAAATATTTTATGCCATTGGTTTTATTTCTCTAGAAAACACGGCCTAACACACATGGCCTCTCTCAGTCATCTACAGCTCTAAGCAAACATTTCCAAGGAGTAAAATTGCAATGTTGTGAATTAGTTTGCTGTCATTCAGAAAAGTTTAAACTGCAAAGAAAAGACCACTGCAAAGCCAATTGTCCCATAATAAGGTGTGTGCTGCAGAGTTTATTGATTGCATCTCATGATAAACAATTTGGAAGAGGCCATTGCAGTCTGAGAGCTGGCGGTGTGTCATGGTAAGAACTCTAGGTGGCAATGACGTCTAGTGCTGCAGAGTAAGGCATAGAGAGGCCTCAGCCACTAACCTGGCCAATCTCTCTTTGTGAGAGCTTTTTATGGATGAGCTGTTTGGCCCAGATAGGGAATGATAGCAATTTTATTTGCCCACACACACTTTTAAAATAAAAACTATTTTTATAAAACATGGATCATTTTCCTAAATCAGTTTCACAGGTGTGTTTCTATTTTGGTTTGAATCTTCTACTCAAAAATAAGAGGAGAATCAGGAGAATTTGGGGTCACTGACTTAGGGAACATGCACCTAACCCCAATTACAGAGAGATGATCATACATTTCTGCATGCATGTATGGCCATGGGTATTCTGGTGTGTGCCCTGTGCCTGTGGGTCTATACTTTGTGCCTGTGTGTCTGTGTGACCCTTTCTGCGTGAATGTAAATGTTAGGTGTATATCAATACAAAATGCAGGGTGGAGCATATTCTAGTTCTGGCTGGGAAATCGCTGGCCTCCAATCCTGACCACTCCCTCGCCATTTGAGAATCCATCTCTGTTTCCTCATTTACTTGGAGCTTTTAGGAGATTGGAAAATTAATGAAAAGACAGATGACTGAAGAGAGAAAAGCTGCACATCAAATCACTGGGAGCCAAGAAAGAAGGGATGAAGAAGAGCAAAGGGAGCAAGAGAAGTTCTGCAGTGTTTGAGAGTGAGTGTAAGTGCACGAGTGACTATGTGTGATAATATGGGTGTGTGAGTGTGAGGCTACGAGTGTGCATAAGGTTGTGCAAGAATGTAAGTACGTGTGAGAATGCGTAAGGCCATATATAAGTATATATGTGAGCCTAAAAGTGTGGGTCTGCACAGCAGTGTGTGATTGTGACAATGTGAATGTTTGTGAGTGTGAGAGTATGAGTGAATGTGACTATATGAATATGTTAGAGTATGAGTTGTTTGTATGAGTGACTGTGTAAGGGTATAAGTAAGGCTGTGTATGAGGATGAGTGTGTGTATAAGGTTGTATATATGTATGTGTAAGAGAGGTTAAGAGTATGTGTGGTGGTTACATAATCTGTTGTCAATTTGAGACTATTATGAGTGAAGGGGTAGAGTTTAGTGTGTCAATCAGGTCACAGTTTGATGACTTCATTTGGAGCTACTAAGGAGATAAATAGCTTGCTGGAGGTGGGGCACACACTTACTCCCTGAGAGAAATTACTGGCACATGAGCCTCATGGAGCTAGAAAAGTCATGTGGAGACCCCTGCCAGCACTGAGATGCTTCTGCCACTGGATCCAAAAGACTTTCTACCCACTGGCCTGTGATTGTCCTGCATCATTGCATGTGTTGCATGAATATGAAGAGAAATTTATAGATTGGTATTGGACATATGGGCTAATATCAGACTTATGCACTTGATATGGGCTGGGCTGGGATGTTTTCTCAATATTTAATTCCTCTTATATATAAAGTTCTTTCTTATACACATATGAATGTCGATGAATTTACTTCTCTAGTCTACCCAGACTAACACAGTGGGTGTGTAAGGCTATGTATGTGTGTGCAAATGTGTAAGGGTGTGTGAGTATGTGAGTGAGGCTATGTATGAGTATGAGTGTGTGTGTGTTATTCTGAATATATAGATAACATTACCAACAGAACCAGAGCTTCCTCATCAGGTC